GCCATTGTAGACCCCGCATTAGGTAAAATATGTATTTCATAATTCGAAATATTTGCATTTCATTTTTATACTTAAATTAAGTTAGTGTACAACGGCTTTAATATTATTGGCTACCGCGTCACATTTTGCCGCGCGGCAAGCGTTTCCGCGTCCAGTGTGCAGGAACCATAAGAGGTATGGTAGGAGCATATTGGAACATGTTGGAGCATGCGACACGAACAAACCTATAATCGCAAAAAAGAAAGAGTAACGATTGCAGAGTTGTGATTGGTCGCGCTGCTCCGTTTCGCTGTAAATTTCCGCTCATAGGACGCCAGCCTAAGGGTGAGTTCACACCTTGACGGAAAAGCAGAAAGAGGAAAAGCAGCAGTCAATCAGAACTCGCACTGGTAGTCGACAATTTCGGCTTTTTGTACTATTTACTACCAGCGCGAGTTGTGATTAGTCATTGCTTTTCCGCTTTCTGCTTTTCCATCAAGGTGTGAACGCGCCCTAAGGTTATATCCACATAACTTGTTATACCGCATAAACATACATCTTAAAGGTGCCTTTTCATGCTGACGCTCGACGTTCATTTTCAGCGTCAAAATAGGTCATGTGATCAAAATTGGCGCTTGATATTCGTCAATTTCTATCACGTGACTTATTTTGACGCCGAAAATGAGTGTCGAGCGTTAGCATGAAAAGGTACATTAAGTCTTACAATTAGCAGTAAAAAATTGACTAATTGTAATCAATTATTCTTCTCACATTCAACTATGATTGGACAGTTTCTTATAGTTTAAACTTAGGACGGAATCCATAGACGGTGCTCAAGATTTGAGATGGTCTTAAGCTAGTGCATGAACCAATCAGAGAGCCGTATTAGCATCTTAAGACAATGGCTGTGTTCAGCAGAACTTTTGTTTTGCAACTGTTGGAAGTTTCCTTCGCGCTAATTGGATCATACTTTTAGATCTAGAAGAATGGTCCTATCTCAGCAGACAATCATAAAACGGTTGCAAAACTGTTGAGTCTGCTGAACGCAGCCTATTTAATCCGTTTAATTTAATCTTTTTCTCATTTTTAGAACTAGAGAAAGAAAATTAAACCGAGAATAAAATTAATTTATAGTGGTAGAAATTAGAACTTATATAATTAAATTTGAATGCGAGAACGCAGTGGCAGCTCGGTCGCACTATCTCAATGCCATCTCGAGAAATATTCGGGAAGTATTCGGTATTCAAGATTCAAAAAGTGCGATGATTCCCATATAACACCGATTATTACGGAAAACTTTCAGAAATGTTTCAACCTTTCACGTCTCATGTGCAACAATTCTGAAAGGATTCTGCAATATGTCATATGAAATGTTTTAATAGAAATATTTCTAAAACCTATCACATGCAATAAATTGAAAAACATATTTAAACAGAACAAAAAATCATCATGATGTTAAAATGGCTCCAAAATATTTACTAAAAGTCATTTTTTTGTTCAATCACGATTCAGTTTAACGTCATTTTGATGTTATTGTGACTTAAATTCTATTAATCATATCAAACAAACTAATGCACTGCATGAGTGTTGAATAGTTGTTATTTGTTTGCCGTCATCATATCAAGTATCTATCGTATTGAGCAACATGAATGATTATAAAAGTATTTAGTTGATGGAATTTTGAAAGCAAGCAGTCAGAAATAGTATATGGTATGTACCGTTACTAGTAATGTGATGGCAGCAACATGACAGCAACTGATGATGAGGAAATATACTAATATCAACAAATTGCTGTCAATTTGCTGTAATCTGATGTCGAATTCATATGAGTACAACCTAAGACGTACAATGACGAAGCACCTTGGCTCGAATTTCTAGAAATTGGTTGTCAGCAATATGACGGCAATCTCAGGCCGATATTACATACCTCCGTTTTTTGTCATACGACAAATTTTTCAAGCCTGTCGATTGGCTATAGGACGAAGAGGTCCGAGATCCTCTCTGTCTTGCAGCTAATTAACACGCTTGAAAAATTCGTCGTACGACAAAAACGGAAACATGTAATATTGGCCTTAGAGGCATTTGGCTATCTGGGTATATAAATGACTTGTTCTGCTTTAATAGCGAAAAACTTTTGTATATGAATAATCCTAGACAGCCAATGCAGTGTATTCGCTAACATGTTGTCGAAAACATTGCAGCAACCAATTTCGATAAACTTAGAACAAGAGACAGCATTCTGTCGCGTTGAACTCAATAGAATTAGAATTCTTGCGATAGCAAATTGATGACAACATGTCAGCATGAATATTCTCGACAACTAGTTCACTCGTATTGTCATATTGTCAGAATTTTATTAGCAACGAGCTGCAATTAAAAAACTTCACAGCTTGAAGACATATTTGCAACAACGGATAGAAATCATTATATATTCTGTTGCTGTCATGTTTTCATCATGATGCTCAAGATGAAACGATTAATTATTCGTTGCTAACATATTGCTGTCATGTGTTGCCGACATAATGTGTAAATTAACCACCATTGCTTACAATTTGCTCTAGAAATTTCGACAACTGATTATATATATAAGCAGTCATGTTATTGTATTCATAATGTATCCTATTTTGATGTCAGCAAATATATAATAACATATGCAATGCATTATAGTTTACGTATGCTATATCACGCTTGGCTATCTGGGATATGATATTGTGTGGAAACTGCAGGTGTGATTTTTTAATATGTGTTATAATAAGTGCTTATACATATAATATGATTAATTAATCAAAATAGTTGGCGATATAATTACTATTTTTGAGAAATACTTTAAGTTTTCAATAAATTTTGTAATCTGTAAATCTGTAGAAAATATCATTTTTGTAATATTAAAAATGGTTGAAATCTCTTTGGGGTAATATTTCAAAAAGATTGCGGATTCTTTCTGCTATGACATTTCATCAATCTTTCAACGAGGTTTTATGTGCAAGAATCGTGGACATTTTGCTATTTCAGAGCTGTTTCAGAAATGTTGCAGACATATTTCGCAATTTTTATGAAATGTTTCACTTTTCAGTTGAAATATTTCTGAGATATTTCTGAAAACTTTCGGTGCTGTATGGGTTCGAAATGATTCGAAACGAGTGCTAACGGTAAGAACGAAAGGACGCATTTTTCTATAAAAGAATATTGTTGAAGAAGAGGATATATACATGGCACATATACAAAATAATGAGACATCCGCAGATTGCATATACATAATGCGACACACTTACTCTACGTTATAATAATTAAAAATCGCTCTCGCAAACGTATGTACATACTTGTTAACAGAAAATGGCCGACGACAATCGACGCTTTTACAATTACGAAGTTATTCGTCAAATATGAAAATAGAGATATTATGCTTGATTATTGCTTGATTTATGAAGGTAATTTTTGTCCTTTATCAAATGCTAATAAATTGTATATATATGTTAATAAAAGATTGTGGCGCTTTCAGCAATTAATATACGATGAGGTTTGATTCTCGATTCCCAGTCGACATCAACTAATGACTGTTTTTACCAATACAGATTAACTTTAATCTTGGTTCAACTTACTTTTTATATTTTTATCAAACTTTTAGAACTAGAAAAAGATGAGGAGTTAATTGAACCCAGATTAAAATTTAATTACATTAGCAGAAACGGGTATAAAAGTAACATTAACATATTTTAATATAATTTTTCACTCAACAATATAAATGTAAACACACGGTATTACATAGTACCAGGGTTGGCAAGTAACGCGTTACTTGTAACGCCGTTACTTTGTTGATCGTTACCTTGTTATAATAATGATTTGGTAATGACATTGTAAATTTTTTATGATAACATCATATAATGCTAACATCAGAGTTAGAAAAGTCAATCGTTACTTGTAATGGATTGAAAAAGTCATTCGTTACTGAAAACAATAACTCCTAATTTGTAACGTGTTACTTTTTAGTAACGAGTAATGTTACGCGTAATGTTACGCGTAACGTTACACGTTACTCGTTATACTTATAACTTTTTCAGTGTAACGCGTAATAGTGACAGGTTACTTTTCAAAATGACTTTTCTAAGTAATACTTCTTAGTACAATCTTAGCGTTTAATTAGTTAGCGTTACCGGCATAAAAAATTGCAACATCGTCATCAAATTGTTTACTATAAAAAGTAACGACAAAGTAACTGAAAAGTAACGTTTGCCAACTCTGCATAGTACTTACATAATAGTTAAATGTAACTATTATGTAATACTGTTATATTACATTTGTTGAGTGCAGATTATAATATAGAAGTTGTGTTATTTTTAGTTGGTGTCGGCTGGATCATTTTGTAAACATGAAGTGATGATTATCAATAGATGCTTTCCATTTGATGATACAAGTCGACACGAGTTTCATTCTATCTGTCTTGACATACAGTGAGTAACAAAGATAGAATGACACTTGTGTCGATTTGTGTCACCAAATGAAAAACATCGAATAGCTGAATTATATATATGAGCCGTTTATTTTGAAAGT